TGTGAATAAAGATTCTGTCTTCCATTATCTTGCTGAATTTCTCACTCAGCACAATCCAGGTTGGTCAGCTTTCCTTCAGTAGGACTCAGACCAGTAAAATAAATTTTAAAGAAGGAAATGTTCTCCACCCCCAATGCTATGCATGTTTACCCAGAAGTAAATCTCTTGAATTCAGTTTCATTTTCTTTCTATTAAATATACATAGGATCACAGATTTCTTGACACTAAACTTAATTAAGGTACCAAAGACTTCTTTGCTGTTGTTGCCTTTTATGGTAACTAGTTTATTCCTAATGGAATATAACCTTGCTAGGTCAAGCTATTCTCTATCCTGCAGATGGGACAAAGGGAGAGAAAAAAAGACTGTGAAGAAAGTGCTTTGCCTGAGTTAATTGGTTGGCTAAAATGACGATCACTCCTCTTTTCTCAGTGTTTAATTGTAGGTAGGCAGTGATCAGAGAAATGTAGTCTCTCCATCTTCAGGTACTTCTCCTTTTCCTTTTCCTTTTCCTTTTCCTTCTCCTCCTCCTCCCCATCCTCCCCCTCCTCCTCCTCCTCAGAATATCCCTTGCCATGAGAGACACACATTGAGTTTCCATAAACTATTACAGGAATAAATTTGGTTTTAGTCTATGACTCTTAAGTAACTAATCTGTTACTTAAGATAAGTAAAAAGGTCCCCTTTCAGATGCCATTAAATGTGGATGGAGGAGATGGCAAAGCGTTTATTATTTCCTGGAGAAATAAATGCCGTTATATTGAAGCTGGGAAGGCAGGGCAAATATTCTACTTTCTCAAATATAGGTAGTTCTTGACTTACCACCATAACTAAGCCTAAAATTTCTAAATTTTAGAAATGCTAAATGCTAAGTGAGACAGTTGTTAAGTGAGTTTTACCCCATTTTGCAACCTTTCCTGCCACAGTTAAGTGAATGACTGCAGTTGTTAAGTTATTAACACGGCTGTTAAGAAAATCTGGCTTCCCCATTGACTTTGCTTGTCAGGTTGCAAAAGGTGATCACACGATCCTGGGACATGGCAATTGTCATAAACATGAATCAGTTGGCAAGTGTCTGAATTTTGATCACATGTTCATGGGGATCATGCAAATGTGAAAAATGGTCCTAAATCACTTTTTTTTGGTGCCTTTGTAACTTCAAATGGTCACTAAATGAACTGTTGTAAGTCAATGACTACCTGTAATTTGATTTCCCCCCCCCCATGCCTCTTTGATTTGTCTGGAATATTCTTCTGAAGCCAGAGATCTTCTTACAAAGTTATTGCTCAGTCACTTGATTTTCAGTTGTCTCAGATGAAATTCTTTTAAAGGAACAGCCTATCTTGTGTATAAAAGTATGCATAGTCAAGGCTATGGTTTTCCCAGTTGCAATGTCTGGCTGTGAAAGTTGGACCATAAGAAAGGCTCAGCGCCGAAGAATGGAGGCCTTTGAAGTATGGTGCTGGAGAAGACTCTTATGAGTCCCTTGGACTGCAAGGCGATCAAACCGGTCCGTCCTAGAGGAGATCAATACTTTGACCACTTAATGAGAAGGAAGGACTCACTGGCAAAGAACCTAATGCTGGGAAAGATTGAGGGCAAAAGAAGAAGAGGACAACAGAGAATGAGATGGCTGGATGGAGTCACTGAAGCAATAGGCATGAGTTAAATGGACTCCAGAGGATGGTAAAGGACAGGAAAGCCTGGAGGAACATTGTCCATGGGGTCGTGATGGGTTGGACATGACTTTACAACTAACAACAACAATCTTGCTCCAGCCAGCTTTTCAGGAAGGGGGATCCAAGACATGATCTCCTATAAATGTCAGGTCATGCAATCAAAGCAGGATGCTTGGAGATGGTGGAACATGATGCCAAGACAGGTTTCCTGTTCTCTGGCAAGGGAACCTGTGAACTCTAAGCAGCAGCATCATTAAGATTATGGATTGCAAAACCGTGGTTGACAACATCAATACAATGACTAAATTCATCCAACATCCATGCCTTATTATCATAGAGTTTTTCAATCCTGGAAACCTCAAGGTGTGTGGACTTCAAATATCAGAATTCCATGCTTGACTAAGGGATTCTGGGATTTGAAGTTCACATTTCATAAAGTTGCTAAGGTTAAGGAATACTGGCTTAGCAGGAGATATAGACCCAACCTCTCTGCTTGGGCGAAGTGTTTCAGGGTGGATGAAAGTTCTTTCCTATTTCAGACTTAGTTCTCCCATGCAGCAACATGGAGGATAGGCTGGGATGGCAAGGGAGAATCGAAAGCCATTCCAGGGCTCATCCAGTGTCAGTTGTGCTATAGAGTAATTATTATTAAATAGAAGTTACAAGGGGTGGGAGTTCTGTACCTCTTACTCACTTAACTATTAGTACCCCATTGAACATACTGTTGGGATTTACAAGGAAACAAAGCTGCAAACCAAAACAAAGTTTAATGAGCACAACAGAAATTTCAGAAATATGCACAGGATACTCATATCTCAGTTTCCTCATCTTAGCCCTTGGCCAACCTGATGCCCTACAGATGCATTGGGAATTTATGATGTGTGTGTGTGCATGTGTGTGTTATCCTATCCAGATAAAGAAACACGGCAAGGCAAATCATATTGGAATTTTGATTTTCTTTTTAATTTGATCTCTTCCTCTCTCTCTCTCAAAAAAAAGTTACAAAATCCATGGCAACCGGCTTTTGCTAGTGTGTTTGTTTGTAATAATAACAACAATAACAATAATAGTACAGAAAGAGGATGAGGATGAAAAAGACTTGCATGACACTCAGAAATCAAGAAATGTCAAGGATTCCAAATTTAACAAAACAACACCAACAAATAGATGTAAAAACTGGGCACAACAATGAAGCCCGATAATTTTCGCTCTAGAGCTCCCGCTGTTTGGTGGGTTCGCAAATGAGATTAATCAGGATAGTTATAAACATGGATGAGTTCAACATTGGTATAATCCAATTGGCAGTGAATTAATCGTTTTCTCTGGGGAGCCGAGCTCCCTTTCAATCTCCACCCCAGGCGGCTTCTAAAATGCTCAAGACAAACCCCGCCTACCAGCCAATATTCGGTTCGGAAGAAAGTTGTATAAATAACTTTCCCTTCCTGTCTATTTACTTCGTTAACATGGGAAAGGACTAAAGCCATGCAATTAAAAAGAAAAAAAAAAGAGAGCAATCAGCCTCCACCCGCTTGTAATAATGTTCAGTCTGAATTTGGACTGCGACGCTTCCCTCCCCCCCCCCGCCCCAAGGAAAGCGATTCTCCCTTTCACTGCCAGATGTCTTTCGGCTCTGTGGACCAGCGGGGTGGATGGAGGAAGAGCCGATCAACAGAAGGAAGCGCCAACTGTCTCAGAAGGAGCTGTCCTTGCCAACCAAGAGATGGATTCCAGTCTGATCCACATCGAGTCGAAAGTCTAAAAAAAGGAACGTGGAAGGGCCAAAGCCCCACAAGGCGCCTTTTCGGATGAACAGGTGAATAAGCGGAGTTTGGAGATCAGGGAGTTTTCCTCGAGAGTAAACAAAGAAATAGGAAACACAGACCAAGCCTGGTGCTGATAGACTGAGCAGGCAGGGTCCAACCCAATGAAGTTGATATGGCCATATGGAAATCGACAGATCACCCACTCAACTTGCAAGCCTTCTTAAATCTATTATCTCCATAGAGGCTACCATGCTGGTCGGGGCTTCTGCCACAACAGCCTTCATGTGGTGAAATGCAGCGGAATCAGTCACACCGATATCACGAGAGTTTTCCTCAATGATCCCAAGTCCTTACAGTAGTATAACTTGGATTGAGATCAATTAACTTTTATTTTTGAACAACTCTGCTTATTTGGAGGGGAGTTTAACATGGCTTAAGCTCAAAGATCATGAATGTGTTGATATGGAATTCTCCAACAGAAAATTGGGGGATATCATGATTCTAAAATACCATGAGTGAGGAAAAAAAATATTTACAGCACCAGTTGGCTACAACTTTTTTATATGGTATATATTGGGAGCAGGAAATCTGAGTTCTGGACCTGCTTTAGGCTTAGAAGCCAACTAATGACTTTGGGCTACTTTTTCTCTCTTCCTCTGGGAAGTAGTCAGTGGCAAGATGCTTCTAGACAACTACAAGGACTCGCCACCAAGAGATACTCTCTCTCTTTCAGTCTCCCCCTCCCCCTCTCCAAGATCGCCATTCAAATACCGTGTTCACACAATCTCCGAAAGTATGTTTGTTAAAACACCAAACAAATTATAACTGGCTTGAGACACACGTCACACTAAACCGTGTTGTGCAGACTTAGTGTGCGTTGGTTTTAGTCGGTTGAAGAATTCTTAATTCCTATTCTTAATAGGAAGTCCATTGTTTGGGAACTTATTTTCAAGAAAGTCTGGTCATAGCTATGAACTTTTTTTTTTTAAACGGTTCTTCATTTTGACTGGATCTCCGGAGCCTCCATTCCCAAATCCGTTTTTACTTTCTTTGATATGTAAACGAATTGATTCTAGCAGGAGAGTCCATACAGATTTAACAATAAAACAAAACAGAATAATAGGAGATGGTTTTCAAAATCTATCTATCTATCTATCTATCTAGATATATGCTAAGAACGATTATTTGGGAGCAGGTCCCACTGGAATAAAGGGCTTCGCTTCCGAAATGATATCCGACAAATCTTTACATGAGATTCAATAAGCTTTCGCTAACTTTCTAAAACCGCACAGAATAAAATGCTTACTTCTAGACAGAGAAACCGCGTCGGAGCGAACGGGGTCTCGCCCAGCAAATCCCCCAAACTGCGTCGTTCGCAGTCTGCCCCCCTTTAAAGGCTGATGGAGCTGATCTACCTTTGGCCAAGACTCTAAACGACACTCTTTTGACAACCGGTCTACCCCAGCATCCCAGTTCCCCATCGGGTCCAGCTAAGCGTAGATCTGGAGAGCAGCTGAAACAGCCTGCTCGGTCCTTCTTGTGCAACGGCCCCCGCGCGCCTTAGCTGGCCTCATCCGAGTCACTGTAATGCGATCGAGGCGAGAACTCCCCATCGCTGCGGTGGGCTGGTGGCGAGGTTTTTCTTCTTTCTGGGGGCTGCTGGCCAGGCGGCTGGAGAAGCTGGCCCGGCGAGGGGGCCTTTTGCCCCAGGAGGGCGCCGTCCGTGAAGGAAGGGAAATGCAGCGGGTCTGGCTGCAAGGCGTAGCCCCCTCCTGTCCCCGCAGACCCCGCAGGCGATTCTAGGGAAAAACGCGTCCTGCCGTGGCCCGCAACCTGGGCCCGGGGCTGCAGGGCGCCCCCTCCTGGGGGGGTACAAGGGGAGCGCTCGTAAGTCTGGGCGGCGGGCGGAAGAGACGGGCCCTTGCCGCAGGGGGCGCTCTCGGGCGGCAGCGGGCTGTGCAGGAGCTCGGCTAAGGCGCTGATGTAGATCTGCGCCATCTGCAGCGTCTCGTACTTGGAGAGTTTCTTGTCGTTGTTAAAGGAGGGGATGACGTTCCGGAGCTGGTCGAAAGCGTGGTTCAGCCCGTGCATCCGGCGCCGCTCGCGAGCGTTGGCCGCCAGCCGCCTCTGCCGCTGCACGCCGTTGGTCTGGGAGCCCGGGCGGAGAAGAGCGCCGCCTCCGACGGCCGAGCAGGGCGAGCGGAGCCGCGGCGGGGGCGGCAAGGGCGCCTTGCAAGGGCCGCTCCCAGGCTGCGGGTGGCGGTGGTGACGGGGTTGTGGCGATTGCTGAAGCGCGCACAGCTGCTTCCCTGAGGAACTGTTCGAACTCCGTCCGTTCGCGCGCTCGGGGCCACCGGCCCTCAGGAGCTCCTCCTCCTCTTCCTCCTCCTCTTCTTCTTCTTCCTCCTCCTCCTCTTCATCTCCCTCAGGTGTACCCGAAAGCAGATACCTGGGGGATGAGGAGAAGCGGCCCGGGCAGCAAATGCCCAACCAGGGGGAAGGGAAGGCGCCGCCACGACTCGCCGCCGCCGCCTCTTCTCCCAAGAGGAGGTGGCCTTCCAGCTGCTGCTGAGGCGGCGGCGGGCCCAAATCCCTGCCGCTGCCGGCCCAGGCATTGGGCACACTCGGCACGCGCAGGTGGCTCATCGTGACCGGGGGCCGGGCGGGCGTGGCGGCGACCAGGGGCGCGAAGAAGTGCCGCTGTATAGCCCCGCTCCTGACACTTTCTTTCCCGCGCGCCCTTTCACGACCCCCGTCTCCTTCTCCTCCTCCTCCTTCTTCCTCCGCCGCCTCTAAGAGCCGTTTCTTCCCCCGGCGGGCGCCTTTACAAAGCCGGAAATCTCCCAGGACATGTAAGTGTCTGCCCACAGGCACACGGCCCGCACACTACCAGGCGTCTCCGGTTGCGAAGGGCGCTGCGCCCCTTTAAAAAGCGGCACGCGCCAGGGTCCCCCACCCTTGCCACCACCTCCACACACGCACACACGCACCTCCTCGGCGCCCCACCCTCCGTCTCCCACCCACCTCGCGCCAGTCGCGTGTCGACTCAGCCATTGGAGCCCGCGGGCCTTGGCGCGTGCTGGCAACCAATGGGCAAAGCAGTCAAGCTTGGGTGTTTGGGCTCCTTTCTCTCCCCCCCCCCACTCTTTGGCCCGCGTTGGAACTGGGGGCGGGAAAGAAAACGGGAGGGAGGAAGGGAGGGGAAGAAAGAGAGAAGGGCCAAGTTGACACAAAGGAGGCAGAAAAGTTTCTTTCTCAGAAAGAATTGCTCCGCTTAATATTAGGTTAGTTAGGGAGGCCGTTTCCGAGCAGGCTTGGCGACACGAGTCACTGACGTGTGTGAATGTGTACGGGAAGGAGGAGTGTCGGGCGGGGGGAGGGGGAAGCTGGTTTCCTACACCTGCAGGAGTTCGTGAGGTAAAAAATAAAATAAAATGCCGGGCGGCCGAGAAGGCGCGTGTCTAGAAATGCCACAACGCGCGCGCGTAAATCTCCAGCAATGGAGATTTGGCCTCAGGGCGCCGAGTGGGTGATAATCGCTTTCTAATAGCTCTGAACTAGGCTGGCCTCAAAAGCCACCTTTCTCCGCGGCTTCGGAAACAGAAGAAGAAGAAGGCAGACGGGCGTGCCTGAGGCATTTGCGCCTCGCTCCGGCGCGCTCCGTGAGGCGGCTTAAACCACCGCCAGCCCAAAGCCCCTCGTAGCAACTTTCTTTTGGTTTTTGCTTTTGCTCTTATCCAGAGGAAGCGGGTTCTTCTCCAGTGAGTCGCTGGAGAAGAGCCTAAATACTGGGAAAGATTGAGGGCAAAAGAAGACGGGGACGAAAGAGAATGAGGTGGCTGGAAGGAGTCACCGGAGCAGTAGGCGTGAGCTTAAATGGACTCCAGAAGATGGTAGAGGACAGGAAGGCCTGGAGGAACATTGTCCATGGGGTCGCGATGGGTCGGACACGACTTCGCAACTAACAACAGAGGAAGCGGGAATAGGGGTGGAAGGGTAGAGAAATGCATGCTGAGGACCAAGTGCTTTGGCGTTACTGCTGTTGAGGCATATAGGATAAGTAGTCCCCGCTCGGCCACGTTGAAGAGAAGCGGGGAAAGCAGCGGCTGGAACTTCAAGAGTGGCTATAACGCTGGGATGCACGCGACCGGCACGCTCCCTTCTCGCCCTTTGAAGCGGCAGCCTTTGCTACGGAGATCGCCCCGAGGATCCCCCGATTTGCTCGGCTGCCGCAGCTACCTGAGGACAATCGGAGAAAGCGCTTTAACGTATCCCGGGGCTACCCTGCCAGCAAACCGCGGAAGGTAGCAGAGCTATTAGTTATTGGCGGACGCCTTGAGGTGAATCCTATTGAAACTAGTCAAGAACTGAATGTCCTATAGAGATTCTCAGTCATCCAGCAGGTCTTGGTTGTCCCGAAGGCAAATAGACTTGTTCGTTTTACCTTGAAGACGTTTCGGTTCTCATCGGTGGTGAAATCCAATTTTTTTTACTACCTGTTCTGTGGGCGTGGCTTGGTGGGTGTGGTGTGGCTTGGTGGGCGTGGCAGGGGAAGGATACTGCAAAATCTCCCACCCCACTCGGGGGCCAGACAGAACTACTCAAAATTTCCGCTATCGGTTCTCCAGAACCTGTCAGAACCTGCTGGATTTCACCCCTGCTTCTCATCCAAGAAGCTTCAGAGCTGAGGAAGCTTCTTGGATGAGAAGCGAAACGTCTTCAAAGAAAAACCCAGAAAAGTCACAAAAGACTCTTGAAAAAAGCACCTTTGGGATAGTGAAGAACTGGATCTGGAAGCCAAAGTCCAGGACACAGCTCTGCAGTTCAGGGGAACACAGTGCCACTCCCCCCCCCCGATTTCTCAGACCTTTTTATTTTTTTCCTTATCCTAATGAAGGACCCAAGAAAGGGAGAGTTCTGAGATCCAGAATGACCATGGGAGCAAACTTCAGATGGAAACTCCCAAAGGGGTTGTGTGATGCCAGAAGCAACTGATCCTTTTGTCCCTTTCAAAAGGTCCTTGCAGGTAACTGGAGGCACAGTAATCAAACAAAACATTACTTCTGGGCAGACATATAGCGCTTAGCATATTCCTTTTCCTTTTAAAGCATATTCCCTTATTCCTTTTAAAATAAAAGTCTGAACTAGAGCTGCTTAGACAAATACAGTTACAGCTGGTCATTTTATTACTTTTTATTATAATATACTGCACTTTTTTTTTACAAACCTAGGATAGTATTGCCAAGGGAAGCCACTCCCTCCCCAATATAATTGCTTACTTGGCTGAATCAATGAATATTATATTATACAAAGGAAGGATCACAAAGGCTACCGTTTTTTTGTATGCAATTATCTCTGTGTAAGCAGTGCTGTTCTCCAACATGCAGAAGTAAGTTCTCTAGTCTCTATATCCATTAAAAGTTCCTGAAAAGTTATGGGAGTGAACCCTAATTCAGAGGCACAATTTTGTATACACTTACCTGGGGAAAAGCCCTGCTGAATGCTGTGAAAGATGATTCTGAAGGCATCAGCATAAGGTTATGCTATTACCATGCAACTGTTATTAGCTGACTGAAGTAATGGCTTTGTAAACGCCTGCTGCCTGAATTAATAACCTTGTAAGATTGATCAAGCTGCTTGTTTCCTAAATGCATGTTGCTATCCATATATGTACTTATGTCCAAGTGTTTAGCTTGGTGGGAATGTCTGTCTGCAGCATATAACTTCAATCTTACCTATCTCTAATTGCCTTTTTACAACCCTGTATTGCTCTCAGATGTCCCGTTGCAATTTATTTATAATAAATCAAAACGTCAGCACGATTATTATTAAATTTATGTGCAGCCCATCTCATGGTTTGAGGCAAGCATTAATGAATAGGTATCATCTGACTCCCCCTCTTTAGGCTGGCAAGCGAATTAGGGTCTGGCCTGATTAGACATTGATAGCAATCTCCAGGGAATACAAAGATTGTAGGCTAGACTGAGAAAGTCCTAGCAAAACAAAACTACCCTGGGAGATGACCATGATTGACACTTGACAGTTTTATTGTTGATGAAAACTATGGATCTGTCTTTGAAGTCATCAAAAGTTGAGCATGACTAAAAGGAATACTTTTTAAAGACTTGTACATTTATTATTATTTGTTTTGGAAGGATGTGAGCTATGAAATTTTAGGAGTTTAGGTAACCACATGGCCAATCACAACATTTTCTCTTCGGGGTCTTCTTTAGGACCCCCCATCTCCCCTTGTTCTTTATATTCTAAGCTTACTTTTGTCTTAGTATTAGGGCATAGCCATACTTTTCTTAGAAAAAGCTGAAGAACTATAATGGTAGAAGAAAAAGGGAAGAGAAGAAAGGTGATAATGATTCCACTTGTCTGGGAGAGAATAGAAGACGGAAGAGAGAATGTAATGTGGTGCTGATGCATAGAAGCTTCAGAAAGACTTCTTGTAGATTGAGATAGAAGACACACAGGGAGAGAAAAAGAGAGAGAGGGAGAGAGAGAAGAAGAAGAAAAGAAGAGGAGGAGGATGATGAAGAAACCTCAAGGGAATTCTCTCTCAGAACCAGAAAAAAGCAGTAGATAATAAATGCATGTCTGTAACAATTGTGCAGTGTGATGACCACTATCCACAAGCTCTCCATCACAACATGAATGAGCAACTTGTGGTCCTAGGAGCTACCTTGTTTCTTGATGACAAAGACTCAAAGTTGATGTTGTTTCCTGCCTTTCTGAGGCCAAGATCATATGAAAACAGTAAGGTAGGTCCTGAAATGACTCTAATAAAGAAAAGTGTCACTAGTTTTGTAATGGGATTCATCAGATATGCATGGCAAACTTCATGTCACTTGACTAAGCAGCGTGAAATCCTTGACAGACGAATGGTTCTAATCTCTTTCTGGAACAACCCTATCGTTTATATCTTTTTGACAAGGATACGGAAAATACTTCATGAACATGTATTTTATCTGAATTTGGTAACTCATGCTTTAGTGATTTAAAGTCAGGGTAAATAATGGACTTTATTTTTTTTAAAAAAAACACTATTACCCCAATACCTCAAAAAAAAAAAAAAACTTCACACAGGGTAAGCAATAGTTTTTTTTTTTACAAAATAAGCTATGGCCATATTTTCTACTTAAAGAAAATGCAAAATATTTGTTACATCTATAAGTAAAATAAACAGAACAGCAAATACAGAATCTTATTTCACAACTTAAAAAAGTCATGGGAGAGAGGGGAGTACTGAACTCATGGCATCTCTTAATTCAAAATTAATTTCAATAAAAATTCAAAATTAATTTCAATAAAAATTCAAAATTAATTTCAAAATAATTTCAAAATTAAGAAATTAACTTGTTTCTTCTTGAGAAATCCAATTTGTTTCAAAAGAATAAATCCTCGTAGCAATAGTAATATAAAACAAGTGTTTTGAGGCCTATATAGGCCAACGTAGAACAATTGTACCATTTTCACTAATTTGGGAAAGGGGTGGGATAGAGAAATACAAGAATAAGATTAGATTTTCCGTATAGATTAGTTTTTCCATCATAATAGATTCACTATTCATTCAAACTCTTTATTAGGTATATAATGTAAATATAATTTACCACTATGTATATGAGCTAGACATCAAAGTCAAAGGCAGTAGGTGACTCTTGTAGAGTTGGATTTAGTTCTGTTCTCCCAGAATAGGACAAATGTTAGTGCTGAAGAACTCCTGGGGTTGGCTGAGTTCATTTGGTATTCAAAAATGTCTCTCCTTTTTTGCTTTTACCAGTTCTCATTGTATGTTCAAGCCTACTTGAGTTTCTTTCCTCTTTTGTTAGACTTGACTCTTTTGATGTTATTCAG